AAACAATTAATGAGTAATAACATATAGTTTTTCTTTTCAATTCCTTGACAGCGGATTTTAATTTAGCAATGTTGCTAGCAGGTTGTAATGTGACAACGAGTCTCTTATGAATATGGATTTTACACCCAAATTTTAATTATTTTCATTTGTGATTGGAAACAAAGAACTGAATCATTGATAAACAATAAAACGGTTTTTTTTTTTTTAAAATAAATTATTTATGGCATTCATGTTTATATGACCTAAAAATAATTTATTTTTTTTGTATTAAATTGATTTTAATGATAAATGTAGTTGAATGATTTCTGTAGATAAATATCTTACGTTAAGTGATTTTATTGATATAAAACAAAGTTTACGAACTTTGCTAGATAAATTCTCATAGTTCAATGACCTTTTAAGATATTAACTCCATTTGAAAATACATGAAAGGGAATAGAAAAAGAAATCTATTGTTTAGTAACTTTGTGAGATTGACTCGTTAAAACAAATGATCAGGATGACTCAAGCACATTAGTGTCCTAAGTCGAAAATTGAATGGATCCTTAAACTTTAAAAAATAAAATAATATATTTTCTTACTAATTTTGTTCTTCTAACTCTTAGAGGTGCAGAGTTGTTAGTTTTTTTTATAATTGATTTTCTTTTAATAATTATTTTTCAATTGATCATATAATAAATCAATTTAATCTTAACGCCCGATGTGCTTAACTTCTTTTAATAATTCTCTCAATTTATACGAAAAAAATAGTCTTTGTTATAATTAGTACTTACTCTATATTGTTTTCTAAAAAAAATCTACAACCTATTATTGCTAAGAAAAAAAATGAGGCCCTTCAGATTTGGAGGCCTAATTCACTCGTCTTTTTTCTAACTTCATCAAGCCGCCTATTATGGACGTAAGTGAAGGTTCAGAATATAATGGAATAGTCAATGGTTGAAGGGGTGAAAGCAAAACAACATGAGTCGGGAATCTATAGAAAATAACCTATTTACCTTTATAAGGAAGATAATATGACTTTATGAGCTGACGTAAGGTTGCACATATATATATATACACACACGCTAGCGTCTCCATGATATTGATATTATTGAAACTAACTAATACAGACATACAATGTATGGTCCAACTTTTAATTGACGCAGACCAAAGATAGGTGATTCAAGTAAGTCAATTACTCTATCCCTATTGCTATATATAATTAAGGATGTCTTAGATGAAGGAGTTATACTAGTAATAACATTGGTTTATCAATTATCACTTTAATTCTATCCAAATATTTTAAATTAAATCGACATTATTTGTAAGAAGACGTTACCAATCAATCTAATTATGCATAATATTTTAAGGACATCAAATTTTTGTGGACTACTTAGGATATTCCAAGTGGAAAACTATAATAAGCTTGAGTAATTGTGGTACCGGCCATAATTACAGTAGCATCCTATACCCCAACAAGTATAGGATGGCCCTTGCAACGTGGACGAAACGTTGTATTATTGCTATGCTCGTAGTAATGATTATCGGTTAGAGAAACTCCCCACAAAGTAAAGTATATCATTTTCATATTGCTTTTATTGCATATCTTATTGTAAAGCTTAAATGGTTTTCACTTCATATTCATGTATTGATTCTGTTGAGTTGCTTTTAGTCCTCATTTCAGTTATTTCATTATTCAACCATATTACATACTCGTACATTCAATGTACTGATGTCATTCGATATACATCATTTCATGATGCATATTTAGGTACTTAGGATCATCAACAGGCATTCCGTTGAGATCATATCATCCGCTCGTCAGCTTTTGGTGAGACCTCCTTGCTTTTGGGGGACTCGAATTTTTAGGATTTGTTAATAGTAACGTTTTGAGGTATCGTTGGTCTTTTCCCGACACCTATCTTTATATAGTAGAGGTGTCATAGATAGACAGTCTTGGCGAGTATTGCAGTATTAATTCAATTTTAAATGTTTTATTTAAGACTTTATGTTTAATACTCAGTATTTTATATAACTTTGAGATTTAATTAACTATTTTTAAACAATTCTTTTGATGCTTGTGTATGCTTGAGTTAACCTTCTGCTTAGTAGTCAACTAGGACATGAGTTCGCTTGGGGACCAGAAATGGTTCTCGAGTGCGTCCAAGGTGTAGGCTCGGGAGGTGACAACTATTTTTTTGAGACGATTTTCTAAATATTTATAAAAATGAAATTTGTATATAAATATAGAAGTATATAATTATTTCTGAAAATGAGAAAATTACTTTAGAAAATGATTTAAAATATTTTTTTTCGAAGACAATTATTTTAAATTGTCTGAAATTAAAGAAACTCAATAATTAATTTACGTTGTCAAGGGTCGAAATTAGATGTCAACAACATTAACCAATTTAAAGAAATTACTCACTCATGCTTGATACTTAGTAATATTCTACAAAACATTACCTCCACTCTTGATTTCAGGACCACTTATTCATATCATATTTTAAATTTATGAACATGGGTTCACTATTCATTTCCACCTATCACAATTCACAATATGATTCACTAACCGTGAAATTTTTCTGGGTTCACCCAATCACACACTATTGTTTCTACACCTCGATCCCTAAGTCTCCATAACAATTATCTAGTACAACATTATTTCATTACAATATATAACATATATGACCAATTGGCTCTATCAAACTCCCAAGTTCCTTTCACCTTTAGTATATATTTTCATATTACCCTTTAGAACTAACCACATGCAATCCAAGCCATTTCATTCATATTACTCATTTTGAGGTTGATTCATAGAATTGTCAGCACATGCAAGACACACATATTCATGTTATTTTGATTACATTGTACTAAAATTTCTTACGCATGCTTAATCATGTTGTTTCCATAAAAATACTATGATGTATCTACTTGTCACTAATCAAGTCTATATATAAACTAAACCAAAGCCTACATTGACCAAAACATTCAATACATTTAATAAAAAAAAGTAATTTCAAAAGTAACTAATCATTTACTCTTTAAATAAATGTTCTGAGAATTCAAACCACTATTTCTATCCTTATTCATGGTCTATATCATTACCCAAGGGTCATTAAATCACTAATTAATTTCTACAAAATTTGCATTCTCTCAATTAATGAAAATTCTACCCCATTCATCCCTTTCTAAAGCAATTTTTATGCTTTATATTATAAGGTCCCATTTTTGTTGAACTCAACCTTTCTAACCTCCACAATTCATGTTTTAGAACGATAATTTCATGCTAGGAAGCGATACCTTAAAAACTAGAAGCAATTCTAGGTGATATTACACCTACACATAGGTGTTCCCCCACAATTTCATGAACTTAGGGGCCGTTTGGTTACTGGTTAGAGTTATGCAGGTATTAATTATGCAAGGTTTAGTTATGCAGGGTTTAGTTATGTATGTATTAGTTATGCATGTATTAGTTATGCAGGGTTTAAATATGTGTGGTTTAGTTATGCAGATATTAGCTCTGCGGATATTAGTTATGTAGGTATTTATTTAGTTATGTAGAGATTACAAAATACATGAATTATTAACTATTGAATATTAAATTTGTTGTAAATATTTAATATATATTATTTACAAAATAATAAAACATGCTAATTAAATATGTGGAATATATTGAACAATATATAATGCTAATATTTGATTAGCATATGTGCCGTCAAAAAATACACAATCAAATTTCTAATATTAAAAAAATATTACATTTGCATAAATAAATAAAAACTGTAAGTATATAAAAAGAAATGAAAGCGATCTATATATAAAAAGAAATAAAAAAATAAACATAGTTAGGAAAACAGTAAAGTTTTCAATAAAAAAAAAAAAAATTAAAATAAATTCATAGGGTAAATATGTAATTTATCATTTTAATACATGTATAACTAATACCCACATAACTTATTTCATCTTCTACCCCACATAACTTATACATAGATTCCCTCATAAGTTATGTTTGTATTAATCATGTAGGACTACAAAAAATGCAACCAAACACCATATAATTTAATACATGAATAACTAGTATACAACATTTAAAATCTTACCAACCAAACATGGTACTCCCTCCGTTTCACAAAGAATGGTCTAGTTTGAATTGACACGGAGTTTAAGAAAATAAAGAAGACTTTTGAATCTTGTGGTCCTAAATTAAGGTTATGTCAAATGTATAAAATTGTCCTTTAATCTTGTGGCCTTAAACATACCATGTGGAAAGCTGAAATTAAATGTTACCAAAAAAAGAAAAATGTCATTCTTTTTTAAACAGACTAAAAAGGAAAGGAGGTCATTCTTTTTTAAACGGAGGGAGTATAAGTTATGTTGACTTCTATACCTAATACAAAACTTCTACCAAACATAGTAAAACTAATGCAATTTTTTATACATGAATAAGATGTATCTTATACAGTAACCAAACGACCCCTTAAGGTATTAGCGAATTAATAGACGAAGAAGTTTATGAAAAGACTAACCTCAACAAAGAATTTCACCCTAGCATTGGAAAAATCTCCCTTTAAGCGACCTTGTTTCTCTATATAAAGAACTTCACTATGGTGAACTACCTTCTCAATGCTAAAACAACTTTTCAGAATTGACACCTTTTAGTAAAATAATCATAACATTTTATTTCATACTTTAATAAGCCACAAAAGAACGTATACATTAAGGGTACAAATCGCAATTTACTCAGAATTTAAAGTTTATTTTTCTAATTAAGAAAGCTATTGGTAAAGGGTTGATAAGGAAAGGCCAAGTGAGTCATTTCCAATTATTATTTTTTCTATGACGAATTAAATTAATTATCAGTACGTCATACTCTCCTGTGAACCTTGTGGTACTCATGCAGGATACAAACAAACACATCATATTTGTCTTTGAAATCTCATCTTCTCTTTAAAAAGCCATTAAAAAAAACCCACCAATATTAGTGTGAAAGAAAAAAAAAAATTGAATCCAAAAACATATAAAAGGAAAGAAAGAAGAAGAAATTAACATCATGGGATCCAAAGAGCAACAAAAAGCATTGCTCAATCAACAGTTGGAGCAACTTGGTTCAATTACTAATTCCCCTTCTGTAAAACTACTCTTATCTTTATTTTTATTTATTTATTTATGTTGATTCTATTAATTCAAAGGGATTAATTAAATCTCTGTCTTTCTAATTATTTTTTTATGAAAGAAGAAATATTAAATCCTTTTTTGATTAGTTGATTGGAATAGTTAGTTTTTATTCATCTTCTAAATGAAACCAATTTCTTGCTATTTAATATTTTGAAATCGGATCTCTAGACAAGATAGCAGAAAAATAATTTTAAGATGGACTAAGATCAACCTGCATTTCTACCTCCACGGGGTAGTGGTAAGATTTGCATATATATATATATTATCCTTCTCATATCCCATTTATGAGATTTTACTGGATATGTTGTTGTTGTTTACTAAGATCAACCATTATGCCTCTCTACCTCCACTAGGTAGGTAGTGGTAATATTTGCATATATATTATCCTTCTCATAACTCACTTATGAGATTTTACGAGATATGTTGTTGTTATTTACTAAGATCAACCATTATGCCTCTCCACCTCCACGAGGTAGTGGTAAAGTTTGCATTCATTTTATCTTTCTCAGACTTCCCTTATGAAATTTCATTGGATATTTATTGTTGTTTGCTATGCTAAACCTTTATGCATTTTTACCTTTCTGAGATAATAGTAAATTTTGCATACCTTCTACCCTCCTCGGAGATCACTAGTAGAATTTCATAACTATGTTATTGTTGTTGTTTACTAAGCTCGAACCTTTCACCAATTAAAGTGTGTAGACTGAGGGTTAAAAAGTAAATCTTTTTGTTCTTTTTTTTGTTTTGTTATTTGAATTGGTAGCTTTATTTACCAAAATATTGGTTAATTTTTCAGGTGAATAAGACATCAATCATTGCCCATGCATCAAAGTATATAGAAGAATTAAAGGAAAGGATTGACAAGTTAAATGAAGATGTTTCAACTTCACAACCTTCTCATCATGACCATGAAGATGCCTTGCCAGAGGTATGTATAGCTTAATTAGACATTTTAACTTTTTTTGGTCTAAATAGCTTAGCCATATACTCCCTCTGTTCCAATTTATGTGATACTTTTCGTTTTCCGAGAGTCAAACAGTTTAAATTTGACCAAAAATTTGCGTATGAAATTTTCAATTTTTTTAAATGAAATTTATATATTTGTAAACTACATAAAATGTATTATAAATCACAATAGTTAATAATTCAAAAATGTTTATAAGATCTATGAAAAATTTACGGTAAAAAATAGACTTGTTTGAATCTCAAAATTCGAGAAGTGCCACATAAAATGGAACAGAGGGAGTAATTTTTATTTCCTTCTTTTTGGGACTTTTTTTTTATTTGCGCATATAAATCATGAATTTGAACTTCTCTTTTTGCTAAAAAATATGTAGCAGTAATAGGTACAAATGGTTACAAATAGGAGCTTTCAAATCGATCAACCATGAATTCGAAAATGAAATTTTTATAATTTAGCAATTAAATTACATATTTGAAATTAGGCAGCAAGTACTAAGTTTTTTGAGGTGATTCCATCACCTTGTGTTCATTTAGGAGGTATGGTCTAACCCTCTTCTTTGATAATTAATACAACAGCCCAGCTATGGGTAAGATTTATTTTCAAAATAAATAATAATTTACAGTTCAAAACATTTAAATATTATTATTATAAGAAAAAAAAATCGTTTAATCAATCTCGAAATTCAATAGATTTAACATAAATTATGACTGGGAGGAAAATGAAAATAGTGGCAGGTAATAGTAACAACATTCTTCACAAAATACATCCCCTCTTTATCAACCATTTTTTTTGTTAAAATTACATATCTATCTAAGTGAAGCAGTCCACTTAATTTAAACTATACTAAAAATAGATAGTCATTTTTATTTATACAATTTTAAAGACGGATATATAATTTATCATTTAGTTATTAATTTATTCTTATTATTAATAATAATCATTTCTCAAAATATTGAATCTATTATATTCAAAGGATGATAGAAGACATTTATCATTTATCAATTACTTCTTTTGTCTCATTTTATGTGGCATTATTTGACTTAGTGTATTATTTAAGAAATAAAGTAAAGGGTTTTATAGTTTATGGTCTAAAATAATCTTTAGATATTTGTGTGACTGTAAATCATTTTAAAGAGTAAAAGAGAATTTTAAAGTAATATTATTTTTAATTATAATAAAATGACATTTTATTTTAGATACACTAAAAAGACAGTATTAAAAAAAAAACGAAGGATATACTTATTTCCCGAATTTGTTGAATCCATAAGAACATACACGAGATGTCTGACATTTAAGTTGTCGTCAATGATTAAATATTTGGCTCTCGAAACTATAGTAATAACTAATAAATTCAAACATTGTGTCCAAACTCCAATACATTTTCAAGTAAAAGTTATAAATCAAATAAATTTTCTTTCCTCCCCTCCCTTAATATGTTGCAAAGAACGGTAAGAAATGTGCTTATTTTGGCCTAATGAACCTTACAGATTTGTCATGTTGACGATTGTGTTCGCATTTACACATCTTATTTAAGATCTTTTTGTTTATAGTTCGGAAATTTTTACATCATTTTTCGATGTAGAATTAATTTGAATGACCCACAAATAAACTTATTTTCAATAACTCACGAGACCCTTTATTCCTTAGCTCACATAAACTACCAAAAGGACAACTTTATATTATTATCCTTTCGTACTACATTTTATTTGTATTTTTTATTTCCTCCATTTACCACACACAAGTAATTACTAGAGAGTAGAGACTAAAATGTTTTTTCATGAAACATATTTTTTTCAAAAAAATACTATTTATTTTTTTTCAGAAATAACTACATTTCAATTGTTTGATGTTACAATAAGTTAACTTACTTTTACGTGCTCCAACATATGTCTCCTTAAGAAATTGTTAGTGTATTAATTTTGTAAAGTATAGGCTTGATCGATATTTTTGCTAAGAAATTAAGAGATTCCAACTATAATTCTATGGAATTGGCTTTATTCTATCAGCTACCCATCAAGTCATCTAAATGATATCTTTAGATAATTTGCTTAGAATAAGAAATTTAAAATTTTAAAAAATAAGAAAGATTATTTGTTAAAATAGGTAAAAAAGTGACTTGTACATTGGTGTAAATTTTTTCATAATAACGGTGTATAAATCTTAAACTGGTTTCTCAAAGAGTTTAGGTTTGATGTATTGTTGGAGTAAAGGATAGTTACATCCACGGTGGCTCAAGTAGATTAGTGGCCTAAAGTCAAAATCAAACGGAGGCCTTAAACTTAAATTGTTATTAGCTTTTATATAATTGATTTGTTCTAATATTTTTTTTTTTATAATATAACCATTCTTATTCTAAATTATCTTTAATGAGATATAGCACTCCAAATATGTCAAATTTCTTCTAATAATTCTTTTATTGTATATGGAAAGCTTAGCTTTTCTATATATAGTATTCAATATTTGTTAAAAAATAATAGTAACTCATAACCTATTATTAAAAATGGGGCCCTAGGCCTTCAAATTTGGGGGCCTAACACATGTCCTTTTTTTTTAATACTGTTGAGCTGCCCCGAGTTACACCATCTGATCAATTACATGTAAATATGTTTGATAAAGATAATTTGATTACTTGATAATAACTTTATCGTGTAGGTTACCGTAGAAACCCTAGAGAAGGGATTCATAATAAATGTGTTTTCAGAAAAGAATTGCCCTGGTTTGCTAGTCTCAATATTGGAAGTCTTTGAAGAGCTTGGCCTTGAATTATTGGATGCTAGGGTTTCTTGTTCAGATTGTTTTCGACTTGAAGCTGTTAGTGATGTAAGAATTTCTATTTCTCTATTTAATTTACTTCCTCTTCTACATTTTATTTTTATTTTTAAATTTAAATATCTTTTTTTTTTCTTGTTTGTGGAAAATAGAATATTTTCTTTAGTTTTTAACTGCGTCTCATTTTAAATTTCTTTTTTATTAAAAAAATACTCCCTCTAATCACTTTTACTTACCAGTAATAATAGATATATTATTACTTTTATTTGTCACTTTTAATATATCAAAAAGAGATAATACAATTAATAATTAATTATTTATCATTCAAATCATTTCTCAAGATTTAACATTATATGTATATGAATATTGTGATCAAATATTTAAAACAATCATTAATTCTTAAAGAAGGTACCAAGTTCAATATAAACAAATAAAAAAGAACAAAGAGAGTGATATGGTGTATAAGGCGTGATTTATGAAGGTGTTCTTATTTATTTCTTGTTGGGAAGTGTTACTGTTGAAAAAAAAGTATTATACATCCATTTCATACTACTTGACTTTATACTAAAAATAAAATTGTTATTTTTATTTGTTCATTTTAATAAATTGAAGGAGTTTTATCATAGTTTTTTAATATTATGTTATTAAATAATTACAAAAAAAATAGTGACAACCGAATATTAATTTTCAAAGCATATATACTAACAAATTTAAATAATAAATCCTTAATACAATATATTTTTAAAAAATGTGTTAAGTCAACCTACATTAAATAATATAAAAAAGAGGAAGTACTAGTAATAATCTTTTACTCCTTTAATTGCAAGGATAAAACTAGAAAATATAATGAATTCTTTTTTAATTTTCTAAAATAACAATTATTTTGGAACTTTTCTTTTCTTTTCTTTTTGACTAAAAATTGTTAAATTAGGATGAAAAGAGTACTCGCCTTCAAATACTTTTTGTCCATGCTGTTGTTTAAAACTTCACGTGTGACTTATACAAAATCACCTCGTTATTTGAACCACACACTTTGGATTTTTGATTGAGTTTCACCAAATACCAATTGAGGAGTGCCCAATTTTAATTATTTCTTTTAAGAGGTTTTCACGTTTATCGACCAAAAACCTTAATTTAATTTTCAATATCAAAGAAACGACTTGATTTCTCAAAATAGTTAGCATAATGTAAGAAAGTCACTTTTTATTGAACAAAAATAGAATTAACGGAGGAAATTGGTTTTCTACCCAAAAAAATAATTTGAATGAAATCAACTTTAAGAAAAATCATATTATAAGAAGTGCATTTGTATTAACGGAATAGTTTAATCAATTTTGTTCTTATACACATTTGATGATCTAAAATATTCTTTAATAAATATAATCAAGAAGAGAAAAATAAATGATATTGTTATCGTGAATCATCATTATAATAGTCTTTTACAACAAAATTTAGAAAACAAAAAATTACAAGATTGCATTATATATGCATATCAATTCAATTTTGAGCCCTGAGTAAAATTATAAAGGGTGCTACCCTCCAAATGAGCCCTATCCATCTTGAATCTAAAAAATACTTTACAAAATTTAATACTTCTTACTCTAATTAATATTTCATTATTTTCATTTGTTCAGTCATTAAACACAAATTAGACTCGTCTATTGATAAAAAGTTTAATTGTGTAAAATTTACCTAATTATACAATCAAATACATTTAACAATCATATCACTAATTAAGGTAGTTACGTACAGGTAATTTTCATAAGTCACTAGCTAGCTTAGGATTACCTACATTACCCACGAGCGAACTTATGGTAACCATATTATTCCTTTATGTGAAGGTGTTTGATTGGACATGAAGTTTAAGAATTATATAATTTTAAAAATGATTGAAATTTGTGATGTGAAATAAGTTAAGATATTTGTGTAATTGTAAATCATCTCATTTAGGATAATATGAGTACGTAAAAGTTAAATTATTACTAAAGATAGAAGTATTTCGTTTTTTAGGATTGAATAAAAACGAAACATAAATTGACACATAGAAAATAATACAAAATATGATTACATATGACTTTTTGATACTAGAAGTTAAACTACATGAGTAATAATAAAAAAAATATATTTTCACCTTATATGATGGCTAAAAAAGTTGTTACTATTGCAGAAGGAAGGAGAGATTGAATGCGTAGATGCCCAAATGGTAAAACAAGCAGTCTTGGAAGCTATAAGGAATTGGAAACAACGCAATCAACAAGTTTAATTTAATAACCTTTACTTATGTTATCTTCTCCATCTGTTCTTTCAACAAAAAAAGAAATCAAAATTAAAAAAAAAAAATGAAAAAAAGGCAAATAAGCAAAAAGGAAAAGTCCTTTTTGTAAATTCTGCATTTTATGGATTAATATTAATCAACAAGGTCAGAAGAGTGTTAACATGATGACATAATTAATGCGTTTTTTCTTGAACAATTTAAGATCATAATTTCCCATGCACTAAGAGAAATATGATGGCGCATGTACAATATATAACAAAAGATGAAAGGAAGAACAATAAATAGATTATGATGAGAGATAAAAAATAAAATAAAATAAATCATCTTTTCATTCGTGACAAAGGTGTAATCGGTATTGCTTAAGTATTTTGAGAAAATATAATATTATTGTAATAAGTTGAGCAGTAATTATCCGCCATATTTGTTTCTGTATACAATAATAATAATATCATGGCTACAAGGAATTATTTTATCATGTTAAAATCTTTTTCAACTACACATTCAAGTGCATATAGACGTCTAGAGTGTGAACCTTCTAGCACCATTCAAAATTATACGAAGGTATTATGATTTATGTTAACATGCGTATCTTCATTAAAATACATTGTTAGTCTTATGGAGTAAAACATAATCAAGTGGATAAGATTTAAAAGAAAAATCATATTATAACAATTATATGATTCGACAAAACTTTATTGTCCTTCAACATTCATTGTACTTCTTCGTTAGTTGTCGAAGTATTTATCCTCTCTTCATTGTGTTTTTCACTTTTCGTTTCAATTATTTAACGTATATATTTCAGAAAAGGCATCGCGGACAATTTTCTTACATTCTAAATAACATTATTTATAAATTATGCAACATTATTGATTAACGTTGTTCATGTTCTCTTTGTTGTTGCATGTGATGTGATAGGGATCATTTTTTAAAATCAAATTAAATATGCATGCAATTTTGAACTTATTTTATCTATATTTTTTTATTAATTTCTCAAACTCTTGCATAGTGTATGTTTTTGTCAAATTGAAGAATATTTTTCTTAGTTCATCAATATTTTTGAGCGTGTTTTTAAGTAAATTGGTTCATACATGACAAATACATGCATAATATGAAATAAGGATAAACTACGGCAATATCATTTCATACACCTTTATTTTTATCTGAAACAATCTATCACCAAATGCAGTACTTCTGAAACACTCGAAGAATCAAAGCCATGATTTATCGTTTTCTAAATCAACAACACCATGTGGTGAAATATTGTCACGACCTAACCCACCGGGCTATGCGGGCACCTACATACTACCACCTAAGTAGGAGAACCCTCATATCTCAATAGTTAAAACATGCGGAAAAGAAAATAAACTGATATAAATGAAATAACAGTGTTTCGTAAATAAGAACTTTTAAAACAATTTCAAGTCAAGACTTGTAAAGTAACTAACACCCCCAAGGAATCTAGTCTAACCATGTACAAGAGCTACTAAGAGTACAAACTAAACATAATAAATAAAAGACACAACTCCCACCATGCGGAAGGAAAGATAGAAGCTGCTGGAGAATTTCGTCGCCTTCACTAAATGTAACATCACCAACCTGCATCCAGACTATGCCAAAAAGGCATAGCAAGAGTAGTATCAGTACAAAACCACACGTACTGATAGGCATCATCAGTCAACCCAATGCCCACCACATAACATAAGAAATTGACTAGTAAGATCATGAATAAAACCACTCGCTTCTCCACCTTTACCCTTTCTCGAAATTCCTCCGAATTACACTAGTACTCTAACTACTAACCACCTCCTCGGTCAACCTGCTTACTAAGTTCTTGATCATAGCCTAACACATACAAGAATCCACAATTACAACTACAAGCATTCTGACTAACCACTCACGTCATAACCTTACTTCCTCTTCATATCACCCCGCCTTGGCCACCTAGTACATTACGTCAAGCTTCCTAACCACTAAACCCGAATCCCTTTGTCCAAGGTGAATTCCACCTAAGCATTTACATCACATACGCTACCCCCACTTCTCGCCATTACAACACACGAACAACCCTTGCTATCAATTATTCGCCCCTTGGACCCTTGACCCTTCCAATATACACCACAAGTTCACTCAACACAAAGATCAACCAGATATAAGTCCCCATAAACATATAACCACTCCGAGAAATCACAATATCATTTATCATTACGAACAAGGTTCAATCTCACGATTCACAAATATCACAGTTATACCAAATCATTCGTCCTCTCATGGAACCCAAACCCAAACTGTTAACATACTGGAACGTGGTACCCAATCCAATGTTCATGCCGGAACGTGGCAACCGATCCCAGTTAGTGTGTCGGAATGCAACATTCGATCCATTCAACAAGACACAATCATAATCACAAATCACATTCTCATAGTCATACAATCAAGTCATGATTCATGGCATCCATCATCCGTATATCCTCTTTTACAATTAATGTGATCAACAATGCAACATTCACATACGTACATGTATCATAATGAAGTAGGAACAACATATACCACACAATCTTGAAATCACACCCATCACAAGGATGTATTCAATGACATATATCACTTAACCATAATTCGTCCAACTTAGCCCTAGCTCATTACCTAAGGCTTCTTCCTAGGGTTTAATCATATTTTGTTTGGTGTACGAAGGCCTACGAATAATTCTGTAACATCCGGTAATTTGAAGTGGCTTCAAAGAAGCTTGAAATTTAAAAAAATCTGGAAATTTGGCTAAGTGTGGAAGAACATGAGTTTTTGGCCAACTTTGAGCAGTCGTAACTCCTAGATCAGGATGAGTTAGGAGTAGTTCCAGTTATGGTTGCGAAGCCCTTGGAACGATCTTTCCAACGCCACCAAGTTTGCTCGATTCCGAGTTCGTATGAGGGAGTTATGACCTGTAGAAGTTGGGCAGTTGGAAGGGAAATCCGTCCGGGAATTTAAGGGCATTTTGGTCTTTTCCCAAATTCTTTCTCTTGAGGTTACATGGTGTGTTAGGCTGATTTTTTTTTTTGGATAATTTCTTTTATCCCATTTTAAAGAGAAAGAGTTAGGGTTCTTGAGAAGAGAAGAAGAAGAGAAGAAGAAGAGAAGAAGAGGAGAAAGGAGATCAACTAGATCATTGTGGATCTTTCGTCGGGGGTGATCCCTATCAAGGTATGTGAGTTCTTTGTGTGGGTTGAATCCTTTCCCCCACACACCAAGCTCTTTTTTTTTATAAATTGAGAAAAGATTGGAATTGTTGTTGAAGTTGTTAAAGTTGGTGAAGTTGTTAGTTGTTGTTGATGTTGTGGATTGTGTAGTTGAAACCTATTGTATGTTGAGGGAATTATGATTCTAAGAGTTGTGACCATTGGAGGTTGATTCACATCTTTTCGCAGCAAATCTCTGGGCTGTCGATCCCCATCTACGGGCCTGACCTACGGACCGTAGATCGATTGACGATCCGTACTGGTCAATCGTCGATCAAGACAGAAGTTGGGTTTTGGGGCATTGATCTACGGGCCCGACCTACGGTCCGTAGTTCGATCCACGGACCGTAAGTCAGGACCGTAGGTCAACACTTAGATTTTTTTCAAAAAAATCATTTTTTGGGAAAAAAAATCTCTGACGCGATCTACGGACCTGCAGTACGGACCGTACGTCCATCTACGGTCCGTCGATGGCGTCCGTAAGTCCCACCTGTGTCACCAGAAATCTAAAGTCTCAGCCAAGTTTCCCCATTCCTTTTCTCACTTTCTCAAGCAAGTTCCAAAGTATTATACCTATGTTTTATGGTTGTTTCCGACACTCCATAGTACGTCTAAGAGTTCAAGAATCCCTCCATAACATGTGATCGAACACCTTGAATTCATGATTCCGATTCAAGGAAAGATAGTTCCAAGTCAAGTGAAGTTAGCAGTCAAGTTAAGTCAAGAGTAAAGTGAGTTCTTTTCTCAAAGTTATTAGGGAACTATGTATTCCCAAAGAAGTTTTAAAGAAAGGTCTTTACATCTAAACAAGGTTGGAAACTGAGATTTCCAAAGAGCCTTCGGGCTAGTTTTGAGTAATTATCTCATATCAGCAGGAATAAGTATGTTTTAAAAACATAAGAACCAGTACATTTTTGGGAGTAGTATCGAGCACCGAATTGGGGGAGCGTTCAAAGAACCCACAGCCCCTATAGAACCATGTTAGCCACCATGGGTAGAAAAGGATCATGCTTTTTAGATGAACCCTTTTCAGATTAGACTAGTCGATCCATTAGGCAGTTCAGGTCTTATACCTTTGGCCGGGTATAAGATGCTCTGGCAGCGTGAGGTCGATCGCTGTATCATCACTATAGCTCTTATGTGATGGTTGTCGGTTAGAGAAACTCCCACAACAGTTATTGTATTTTTCATACTCAGAGATTATTGTATTTTTATATACATCAGTTCATTGTATTTCTATATACATTTCAGGCTTATTGCATCTTTGTATACACACTGAGTTTATAACATGTTTTAAACAGTCTTTCTTTATATCGCACTTGTTTTAAATTGCCTTATATTGAAAGAAGTCAGTCAGGTTGAGTTGAGTTGAGCCAGGTAAGCTATTCAGTTTCTTCCAGATTTTCCTTCTAGCCGTTGTTGCTTAGTTTTCCAGCTTGCATACTCGTACATTCCATGTACTGATGCCAGTTGGCCTGCATCGTTTCATGATGCAGATTCAGGTATCCCAGATCAGCAGTGTCACGCCCCAAACTCAAGGGGCGCAACTGACTCCTAAAGCCAAAACTTAGGCCTGAGCCGACCCTGCTGAACCATTTGCTACTAGCGCATGGCAGTCATATGCAATTAAGAAAACAAACAAGTATATCTCGGCTTAAAACTAAGCCCTCGGCCGGCAAGGCCCCTGCCAACAGATCTACAAAAGAACCAGCTACTCCCAAGAGTTCATATAAAAAAATATCCAACCAGCAAAGAAGTCCTGATTGGGCCGTCGAGGCCACCATGATATCTATACCAAAACTAAAAACAGGTAAATATCAGTACAATACATCAAACAGCTCACAAGCTTCAGCAAACCAACAACATAGGCCAGCATGGCCATAACGTAGCTATAAACCCCACACACTAGTCTGCAAGCCTCTAA